TATTGGCAGACCCTAGAAAGTCCAGTTTCTAAAGTACTCCAGATCCTCAGGACCAGTAAGAGCCTCTGCAGATGCTGGCAAACTTGAACATTCTCTTGCAATGGTTATTTAACTTTAAGATACTTAACACTTCAAGAAGACATTGTTTATCTACAAAATTATTTCTAGACATAAACAACAGAGAATAAACTGACAGAGTAATAGATAATATCCTTACATCCCTAAAATGGCTCTTTTCATAAGGAGAGTCACCCTCCACTATCCTCCTAGAAGAAAATCCAGTTAAGCACTGTCCACAATTCAAAACCCATATGTCTTGAAATATCCACAAATAGATAAATGCATCACAATCTATATGAATATGCAATGAACCTCTTACAATTGCTTTTGAAAATACCATTTGTAATTCAAAGATATTTTTTAATCTTGCTCTATCAAACAGGAAAATGGGAATGATTCTCCAGTGGAGTTTCACACACCCATCAATTCAACTTTTAAGTAATATCTTGTATGCAAGCAAAAAGACAGCATTCAAGATCAGCATAAGGTTTCCAAATTATTTTTTCCTGACAACAATATTTAAAACAATATAACCTTAGAATAGACTGAGAAGACTTTTGATTCATTGTTCTCTAGTAAGTCTATATTAAAAAGTTCTAGTATTTTTTAATGAAAATTTAGAACACATCTTCAATGATTTCTCCTGCTACTAGTGGTCACCAATTTACATATATGAAAGAAATTTATTAATTGCCTGTATTTTTGGATGACTAAAGGAAAACCCACCAAAAGTTTATACCCTATGAACGTCTTCACATAGATTATCTTAGAAAAGTTCAATTGGAACAGACCTACAATGATCATCCAGTGCAACTGCAATTTTAAAAACAGCCTTAAATACAAAAAAAGAAACTCCCCAAAAACATCATGCTGCTGAACATGTAGCTGCTTCACTACTGAACTGGAAAATCTAGTTTAATTTGGTTTCTCCTTTGGCCAATCCTATATGGCTTCCAGAAGTCCTCAACAGATTCAGACAAGTCCTCAGCACAGCCTACTCCTAAAACACAGTGGCTATGGAAAACTTTCAATGTATGGTACCTGCAGCTCTTAAATATCATTCTGACCTGGGAGTAAAGTGACTCTCAGTTTTCACACTGCTTCAAGTCGCAAGAATGCACTGCTATATCTAGCTTCTGACACCATTACACAAAGTAGCACACATTCCAAAATAAAAATCAACAAGCTGATAATCACAATAAGCAGTAATGCGGCTGTTCCCTTGCAAACCAATTTAAAGTGCTTTTATCACCATCAATCTCCTGCAACATTTTAAGCCTGTAAAGAAATCTGACTAATCAAAACCAGCTTCTATAATCAAAAGTACTTTTGTGATGAAAAGGCAAAAGTACACTCCATCAGCAAGATACTTATTTAAAAGAATATACCATTTGGTACTGCTTCAGAATTGCACCCAGTATTTTGGAAACCATGACCAAACTGATATGCCACCATGTTCCCACATGCTGAGTAACCAAATTTTTTTTTCACTTGTAACTATTTTTATTTACTATTTCAAAAGGTTTCCAAAACTACAGTCAGTACTGATTTACATATGATTAATTCTTCATTATTGTGATTTTAATGTAAACCAAGGTTATTTTGTAGCAAACGTATTTAATCAAATATGTCTGAATGAGCTTTATAGTCTGGTTAATATACAGTCTTTATTTCAGCATGGCTCAGTTGAAATCACTTAGGAGATATCTGAAAACATCTAAATATGTGCTACTGTCACAGGAAAAACAAAACAACTTACAAATATTTTTGACACAGGAAGATGGAATGAACACCATAGAAGTTACATAAGACAAATAAGGGAGACATTGTCATTTTTAGTTTCTACAATAAAATGTCAAGTTTACTTTCTTGATTTCATTTTAAACCCAAAATAAGTAGGAAACAGCCAACCCGCAATTGAACTCAGGAAAAAAGTATTACATTGTCTGATTAGTATTTTAACTTGGCTTCTCCTGTAATTTTCCCTGGTCACTTCAATAATATGAAGTATATTCTGCAAAATGAATTCTGTTAAATTACATGTCATAAATAAAATAAGTTATTTGGATATTTTTGCAAATAGATCTTATAGCTGTGAATTGAACTATTCATGACATTGCTTATTCTTTACAGCATGTTACTTCTACAATATCACTTTTACCTAAGCAATGCATGGAAAAAAACACATTAAATAAAATACAACATTTCGAAAAACTGAAGCAACTGCGCTTCCCAACAATAAATATAACTAACATCTGTTGCAGAAACTGCTTGGCCCTTTTACAGTTTTGTGAAGAATTTTTGTTGTACATAAATATTTTTCTACACTTCCTATTATGCACCACTTAACTCAGACATTTGCCTTAATTATACCCCAAGGAGTCCTTTCATATCCATTAAAGAAAGGCAATTTGTTGCTGAAAATAATGCATACATACTTTTAAACTTCAACTGTGATTCATCTGCCTTCTGACACATAAAAAAGCAAGGAAATATCTATAATTAATGGACTTAGTTAAGCAAAAATGTCTAATAATGCTCAACTCAATGCTCAACATAGTACTTTTGTTAAATACTTATATATGCTGGTTTTGATTTAAGGAATCATCTTACGATTCAACATTTTACTTTCATTTCACATCTCAGTAGTGAGGACAACAGTACAACAAAGCCTTTAGGAAAGCAAGAAATTTCCATTTTAATGTTGGTAAAAATGACCCAGTAAGGCTTCCACTTCGTATATACAGCAAATACAGGACATCATTTTTTTCTGGGACAATGTAACAACTTTTTGACATTCTCCTTTTTTTTAATTTTAATTTTGTTTTCCACTATTCTTAACTGAAGAATTTCAAAGACAAATACTGATACAGGGTTGTTTGCTTGTTTTTCCTGAAAATACACATAAGCTGTGCACATTTAACAGAATTCTTGTGTGCAGCATTTCATATACACTCACAGTAGCAATGCTATAGTAATACACTGTAAGATTTTTATTTTTTTTAAAGCATGCAGTAGAAACCTATTTAAATGCTATTATAAGCATATAGATACCTACTCCACTACTGAGGTATCAAGCAACTGGTAATGAAGAATGAGGTGAAAATCAGGATACTGCAGATAAAAGAAAAGAAATGCTAACTCTAAAAAGGCAAAAAATTCAGTTCAGGCCCAAAAGTCTCTCCATAGAGGCTCAGCTATAAAATGGGAGAGTTACTTGCATAATTTCCTGTAAAACAAACCAACTGGCATTGTATTCTCTATTCTTATTAAACTGGACAAAGAACATTTCTTAAATTATACTTATTATTAACATAGAACCAAATTTGGCCATTTTAAAAATGAAAAATATAGTAAAATAAAAAATACTTTATTCATGGGGAAAACCAGCATTTTTGTTGATGGAAATAGTAATCCGTATTGCTCTATGTGAAAAAGTTAAAGCCAAAATGCATAGAGTGTATTTAGATGATAAAATGAAATCAGTTGTGTCTCAGGATATTATAATTTTTTAAGTGGAAGGTTTAGGTATACACACTTTCCTTTTATGCTATACAATAGATCAGGCCAAATTATTAAATTGATACATCAAAATCCATATTACGTTTCCTTTAAATATTTATTACTTCTTTCTCAGTCTGTTTTTATATAAATAAGATGTAGGACTTGTAGATTCTATCCCTGCCTCATTTTAGTTTACCTTTTTATGTAACTTTAGATATACTAAATTCATATTCCTTTTTTTTGTTTTTCCTAAGCACGGATTCTTGGAGGAAAGGACCAAAAAATTAATAAAATATTCTACAGTGTAGTTTATATAGCTTTCACTTAATCTCTTCTTTTCATATGAAAACCATCACTCCATTTACAGCATTTTTAAACATATAATATGCTTAATTTCTTTTGGCTAAGAAAGGAGGTATAGGTAGCAATAAAGCAGTAAAGACAGTATGTTCAACTCTACTGTAATAATAGCAGCTATTCTACAGATCAGTTTGTTCTGAGTTTAAAGTCCGAAACTTTGTATTTTAGACAAAGAAGTTCCTGCAAGAAAGAATCAAATTTAGGTATAAAGCAACAATACTGTAAAGTGCTGAAATTGTTTTCACTCTGTTGCACTGACAGAACAAACAGATTTCACATACAGTCTTGAATAAGAGTCCTTTAAATGACATTTATGAACAGAACGACACAACCAAATTTTAACTTCTTCCTACAACTTCAGAAGAATAAGTAGAGCTTCTCATAGAGAATCAGTAACTTTCAGCATTTCTTCAATGTATGTGACATGATAGAAATGTAGACAAGATGAATTTTTCAGCATATAAAGAGCAAAAAGTACACTGAATACAACAATTACATAATTTACTATGTGGTAGCTAGAAATTAGACAAAAACATTACTCCTTAGAAGAGGAAAATCAGAACTAGTTAAGGACTTCAGAACAGGAATTGCAACTCTGCTCTCACATCAGTGCACAGCAATTCAGAAAAAGCTTTTACATAAAAAAGACAACCTATGGCTGCCATCTATTGCTTTAAGCAGTTGAAAAGAATGGAGTAATGGAATAGTGCAAAATTAAAACTAATAGCAAATAAAAACACAAGCTAAAAAAAAAAATCACTGTCCCAGCAGCTTTTCATAAGAGTAGTTTAGAAAACATCTTTTCACCCTTAAGCAAAATATGGTGAAAGAAGAATATCTGTTTGTATCCAGGTATATTTTTTCCAGAAGAACTAAGCCTGTATAGAGTGCATTGTACTAAGTAATTAGGGACTGCTCTTGGTCTGTGTACTTGCAGTAAAGAGAAATTGAGGCCAGTCCTTAACTAGCATGTCATAAGCAGTAAGTAATAGCGTAATAATAGTAATAAGTAATAGTGGGTTAGTGGTGTGCAGATAGTAAATACAAATGGGCAAGATGCTGCCACATTAACATACCTCTTGTACGGAGCGAGCTGCTGGCTTGTCTTGATGATTGGCCAGTATTAGAAATGGCAAAGTACATAACTGTGGGTGCTGGAGAGCAGAATGCAGTTCATTTCTAGCAGTTTCTAGATCATCTTCAGAGGAGGCACTGTCTAATACAAATATTACCCCCTGGGATCCTTGGTAATAACGACTCCAGTATTTCCTGATGTTGTCAGCTCCTTCCAAGACAATAATAAGAATTAATTAAAATAAGAATAATTTAATAAATTTAACACTTATAACTAAAAATAACCAATCTACTTGGAATGATCAAAACAATCAACTAAATCTTTTCTCCTAATCATCATTAAAAGAATAAAAAAGAAAAAAAGGCAATCAGCAATCAAACACACACACACAAATGTCAAATCAATCTTGTTTGAGTAAGGAAGGAACTTGACTCAATGTAGCTTTCTTCCCCTAAAGCTTCTGCTCCATTAATAAGTACTGGCAGAGGTACCATGCTTCTAGTACCACACAGTCTAATCCTTCACCTTCTCACTGAAATATCTTGGCACTAATACCTAAACCTTTGCCCATTCTTTTTTACTCAGCCCTGCAGCTCCCCGCCATAACCTGAAGCTTCTGTCATGGCAGTTGTTCATTTGTGAGCATGATAAGGTCTTCCAGTTCATCTCCAAACCATCAGGCAACCACTTCATAATTGGGGAAAAAAGGTGTCAGGAAAGCCTATTAAAGTAATTAGATACTTAATGGGGAGAACGATGATACAATAGTGAGTTGAATAGTGAATGAGGAGCTATGATGACAACACGCAAAGGCATTCACTTCAACTACTTTTGCTCTGTCAACCACACTAAGGATTCTGAAGAGCCCAACAGCAGACACATGAGTGACTGTACAGGCTGATATGCCACAGTAATTTTTAGGACACAGTTCAGCAGCACTCAGCCATCTCAACAGAAGCCAAGCAATAAGGTTATCAACAGAAAGCTTTTGTCTCCCCTGGAGAGCAGCATATGTTGTAGCATTGAGGTAGGAAAAAAAAAATTGTATTTGACAGCTGTCAAACTATCTAAACTATGATTTGGATATGGGCTATTCTTTGTATGTCTGAATCTGGCACTACACTCATGGGGACAAATGCTAAACAGTGAACAGCAGCAGCAGCAACAGTCTAGTGGAAAACTTGACATGTCTGCCAGACAATGACTTGCAGAAATATAATGAAGGTATCTTTTACAGACACTTTTCTTGCTTTCAGACAGGGACAAGTGAACTTTCATGTATACACAGATAAAAATAATAAAACTCTACCTTTCAGTGAAACAAAATGACACAAAATTTCTGAGAAACATGTAGATATATAATGAGTTTTTAATGCAACATAATGACCATAACACTGATATGATACTTAAAACATTCACTTAATTTATACATTATAAACAAAGGTGAAGTCATAAATGTCTAAAAAGGAATTTGCACCATATACTTTAGGTCCAACTCAAGAGTATTCAAACCTCACTTCACGGAGTTACTGTCGTCTTTGTACCAGCCACACTGGAACCTTAAGCACTTTGTTTCAATATCTGCACCCACCCCAATTTAGGCACCTAACAAACATTGTGAACACAGACACACAGAGTTTTGTTTACAGAGAATATCAGTCACGTCTAACCTCTTTTTTTTCTGCAGGAGGCCTACAGACTTGACTACTTAGAGGCAAATGGCCATGGGTTTAATAGTCAAGACTTTGCTTAATTTCTCTCTTAGTTTAACCAGACTCAAAGTAACAATGCACAAATAGAACAGATGTTTCATTTTTTTATCAACCTCTGAAGATTAATATTATACAAACAGAAGAGGGATTGCATTGAAAGCTAGGTCTATGTTTCTGTACCACACAAATATCTGCCAACTGTACTTCTAAAGAATTGTACAGCATCTGTTAGATGTCCCAGTCTTTCCCAACAGCTGTCTACATCAGAACCAAGTAAAGCAAGCTGCCAGAGGGACACTATTTACATAGCCACACACAGCAGTGTTGCAGGCATCTGAAGGATCACATTACTTTAAAAACTAGTAGAGAATCATTTTCAATGAACTTAAAGGCCAAGACCATGATCAGCTCTTTGAAGGTATTTTTTTTCCTAGCAACATAACATCTGTCTTATTTACTCTAAGCATCAGTCAGCTACTTTTCAATCACATCACTGCCAGAACCTGAGTCTATCTTTGTAATCGTAGTCATTCTAAACAGAAAAACTGCGAGGTGAACTGCAGAGCATTTGACCTCTTGTATCCAGGCACATGGAAGAAAGCAGGTCATGGAACCCTACCTGGGACACTGAAGCCAGAAAAGGAGTATGTTGATTTGTTGACCTTACACTCCTGTCTCTTTGGTTCTGTTTCTTTAGCAGCTCAGCTTTGTTGCTCCACATCAACTGTCCCCAAACCAACACCACTGAAGTATAGTAGTCTTTTTCTCTCTGGCTCTGGCCAGTCGCCATGGCATAGTTATAAGAGCCAAGGTACAATGTGCAACAAAATTTGGTATTTTCTTTAGGATCTTCCATTATTCTAATGACCTGCTCTGAAATTGCTTACACTTCAATTCTGAGGAAATCACAGCTTGAGTTTTAAGAATGAGAATTATTTGCACTAAGCAGACAAAAAAAAAAAAGACAGTTAAAGCTTGTACCTCAGGGTGCCATTTTAAACCATTTTTCTGGCAAATGCACTTGAAAAATAATTCTTGGCATCAATAAGTTATCAGCAGCTGGAAATCACAATCTCTACAAGACAAATAACCTGATATTCTTTTGCCTTAACTCTTCATATCCAGAGAGCATAGTCTGCTCTCAGCTTCTTTCCTCAGAGTACTAAGTAGTATGCTGTGGAGTTATCCTGGGTGGGAAACACTGGACTATAAATAGTGATCCACACATTATGGCACGACAAATTCAGTCTTAAAAAGCAAGCAGTTGTTTTTCAAGGTGCAGTCTAGCACAGATTATCCTATGAATTAACTTTTTCATCTATTCCAAACGTTTCTAGGACACTAAGTTTAAAATTCTGAGCTCTCTGGCAATGCAGAATGTAATGTGCAGCCATTAAACATCCTCAGGTTCTCAGAAGACTGATGAGTCAAAACCAGGAACTTAAATGGTACTCAAAACATCCTAGCAAACAATAGTAGTAAATAAGCATTTAGGTTTGTAAACCTAATATCATGTGTTTCTCTAATAGCTTTGCACCATACGGCTGTTTCTCCATCACTTTATGCCTAAACTAAGATTAAAAAAATAAAAATAAAATAATCTCAAAACCATCAGAAAAACATAACAATCCACATTAGACCTTGGAAACATGCTACGTGAAATGTTTGCTAAAATGTAGTGTTCAGTGTAGGAGCTTCCTCAGACACAGGCAAGAGCCTATGATTTGTTTTCCTCAGCAATGAACCTACGGGACTAGGCTGAGTCCTGTGATGTGACTAAAGCATCCAGTTTACAAATAACCTAGGGAAAAAAAACCAAAACAAAACACACCACAATACAATCACACCACCTGTTAGAGAAGATAATGTTCAATCAAATGTAGGCTTGAATTGCTTTATAACAGGAAAAAAAACTCAAACTCTCCTTACAGAAAAATGACAAGACGTTGCAATTAAAAATCTCAATAATTCAGCATTACTACAGGGCAGGTTTATTCAATTACCTGTAATTTTAAAGAGCTTTCATTTTGATATTTTTTAAATATCATATAAATAAATGCCACGGAACAGAACAGACCATGTCAACACCATTAAGGATTTGTAGTAGTGCCAACAGTACCCCTTGGAAGCTGGAGGGAAGATTTTGAGTTATGTGCAGTTTAATACACACCTAAAACAGGTTGCATAGGTATACGCTCCTGTAAATATCACACAAAATGCAGAGCTGCAAATCTTCCTTTTGCCTATAAATACTTTTATTTACATCTCCATTCACAGCAGTTTGAGGCTACCTTCAATTCCCTCCTCCTCTTCAGTACTTTTGGGAGAACAGAACATAGCATTACAGAAAAAAAATCACTGAAACAAATTTACATGTGTCAAATTTGCTACTTGTCAGACTTGCAGCAAGTCTCCACTGAGAGCATGATGAATGTCATACAGCCCTTGCTAGTCTAGTCTGCACATAAAAGCTCTTGTTCACCTCAAAATACATCACAGGTCTGGAGAAGTTATGGTCTCAAACAGAGGATCAAAAAAAGCTAATGTGGGAACATGAAAGATTGCAGGCTGCAAATAACTCTTCTACCACTTCAAATATATCATCCACTCACCTAAAATAAAAACACCTACATATTTTGAAGGTATTATAGTTGAATTAAATATACATATCATTCCTCTACTGATATAAAATAGAACATTTCTAGTAAGCATAAAGGTGAAAAGATGCCAAGGAATATGCCAACTATGCTACAAAATCTTCTTGCATGAAAGACCAGCTCATGGGTGGGGGAGTAAGCAGGAAAGGAAGGGAAAAAAGAAATCTCTTATCTGTTCTTGCAAAATCTTCGAATTACACCCTACCCTCTCACTCCAAGAAACCTTATGAAGAAAAAAATAACTATTTCTAAATCCACACAGGGTTTATAATATCACTTCCCATCATATCCTCAGATGGAAAGCTGACGTGTTTTCTTGAGTAATCAAGAAGACACCTGAAATCTTGGAAATCTTAACACATTCTCAAGAGATGTGGCTGCTCCTTATCTATCTCAGGCAGAATAAATACAGTATACAAATTTTGTTTTTTCAACACTAGCTGTTTTTCAACCCTCTAGTTCCTTTTTATTACAAATAAATTTATAAAACCTGTTTAAGACACCCGCCTTCTACTTACATTAATTTGTCCAATCTGACAGACACACCCACAAATAGATACCAAAGTTTCCCACAGGTGTAATGTCAGTCACCATTCTATGGCTGTTTTCTATTGCTATTGCGACAATACAGATTTGAAACTTATTCAAGTGCAAAAGTCCCAGGACTTCTGTTTCCTAGGGTTTAAAACCAAGTGATCAGTCTGCTTTCTCTAGCCTCTCAGGCAGTGCACTTCTGAAATCATACACAAAGCACGGTAGTGGGAAATTGGCACTTTTTCCCTAAAAAATGGAACATTTTGAGACTGTCAAACTAGCTACATTCACTGCAGCAATTCAACTA